TTCTGTGGAAAGCGTCTTGGGTTCTTCCAGCTTCTGGAAAGGGCAAACCTTTCTGCAGAGATGTTTTTGCCCAGGGGCCTGGGTCTACTTAGTGGCTGACATAGGGAAAAATGGGCACGTTCAGTGTGCGCCACAAGGGAATTTGATGTTGGGGAAGTGCAGTCAGTAATTCCGTGTGTGTATGTGTGTTAATTATTTTTTGTATGTATATATATATATTAACCATGATGTAGAATAAGAGGTGGAATGTCATGGCTTTATGATTTTTTTTTTTTTAAATGATTTTCCATATCATAATGTCATGTAGTGCACTGGGCGTTAAAGAGTTAATGCTCCAGTTCTATGGACTGCTGATAGTTTCAGGTACCTGGTTCTGAGAAGGAAAGAACACCTAAATACCCCAGGGGACTTAGCATTTACATTTTCTCTTCAGAGGGAAAGATAAAACTTCAAGTTACAAGACATTCCCTTTTCCCTTTCTGCTCATTTCTGCATGTGTGCTCTCTAACTGTCCTGCCTTCAGCACTAGAGTAAAGCCTTTGGTTTTGGACACTCCTATTTTATCTATTAGCCTCAATTCTGATTATATTGTATTATATTGTTATCTTGCATTCAGATATTATTTCTATTAAATTAACTTTCCTCCTCAGATTGCTGCCGCTGTTTTGTTTTTAGGCCTGACTCCTTATTCTTTTCCCATATCCCCTACCCCCACTCCCAGGGTGTGGGTCTGTAGGCATCAGCCTGTAAACAGTTAACAACTTTTTACAATTTAGGTTACTATGTTACTTTTTATGTAATATGCAATGACAATGATAATATAAAGCAGAAAGCACTTGGAGCAATGTCTGGTTTTGAAACATCTCTGATTCTCCACCTCTCTCCACAGACTTTTTTACAGGCGTATGCTGATTTCAAGTGTGTGGACAAAACAACTGACACTTCAAAAGGACTGTATCAATTAAGCATTGTAATTTAAAAAAAAAAAAAAAAAAAAAAAGTAACTCTTAACTATGGTTCCTACCTAAGAATCTAGAAAGAGTCCCTGTCACCTAACAAATCAGTACGACTTTCCTTGCCAGAATTGAAATCTGTTGCATTCTTCTCCCAGCTTTACAGCAGATTTTAACAATCAAGATTCTCAATGGTTTTTCACCACCAAGACATCAAAGCACAGGATAGCAAAGACAGGGCATAACCAGCATCAATGTCAAACAGAAGCTTCAGTGCTGAGGAATTGCATGGTTCTTTCTACTACTGTTGTGTTATGCTTTAAGGAAGTAACAGTTCTAAAGACAACAAAGGATTAAGATGAATGTTTAACTGCTAACTTTAGTAGATAACAAACTTAACTATTACTTCATTGTTGTTAATTTAATGCAATTTTAAAATTCCACATGGAATCTACTACTCAAAAGTAAAGCAGAGTAGCATCAGATAGTGAAAGTGCTTGCAAAACCAGAAGAAATTCATAGCAGTTGCTAAATCCATTCTCTCTGTGGATTTCTATGCTCAAACAATATCAGAAGCAGACACTGAAGTTTTTCACTCCTCCCCGCTTAAGAAAGCAACGAAAACTGTCAAACTCATGATATGTAATGTTCCCTAATCTACAGGGACTAGAAATATAAATGAAATTTGCCTAGGATTGGTCCTGCAAACAATGGATTCTTCTTTTTGCCTGTCAGATTCAAGTAAGAAAAGCAACATGCTTAAAATGGAGCTTGTCAGGTTTCAATAAAATTGTGACCAGATCACATTTATTAAGGTGACTCAACCTGTGACAGTAATATTTGAAGTTGACAGTATGTCTGTGCCTTTAGCTGTTTTCCCTTTACAGCAGATGACTAAATGAAAAACATGTATTGGTGACTCAATTCAACCAGTTTGGAGTATTGCAGCACAAAATTTGATGCTGCCAGCTTTTAAACAAATTAGATACTAGGATCAGTGTCCAAGAGCTGGAGTCTAAGGAAGCTTAACACACACCTTTCTGGGTTGGTAAGCATGACCAAGGTCTCAAGTTCTACCTAATTTAGAGAGCTGACATTAGTTAACTTCACCTGTTGTGATTCCATGCACCATTTCAGTGACACTGATGTGCAAACAAGCTAGTCAAATAATTAGGCATTACATAAAGTAGCTATGTTTGGGCTGATGTTTGGCCTGTAGCTGGCAAGCGTGATTTTTTAACTTTCCAAAAATTAAAAAAGCAATTCTACCAAACACCATACAAAACTATTTGTTGTGCTACTGCAGTTCAAGATTCAGCACATTACCAATCTTTACTCATTCAAAAAACTCAAGCTTGCTCTGCTGGAAAAAGAGAACCACAAGAAAAAGAAAAAAATATATCTCCCAAGCCTACTAAGAAAAAAAAAAAAAAAAAAACACAGCTGGCAAAGGGTTCAGGAATGATGGATTCACTACTAGTTTGATTTCTTCCCATCAATGTATGTCATTTCCTGTTTCTTTATGGTGATTGGACTTGTAAAGATTTTTGCATGCTTACTGGAGCATTTACTATTTCAATTATGATGTTACAGGATTTTCTTAAGATTCCTTAGAGTTGCATTGGTCATGGATAGATGACTAAGTAATCAGGAATCTCTTTTCCCTTTCATTTTAAAGAGAAAGCAAGGAAGTGGCATTTTCATTGTGACATTTGCTTTGCTTTATTCTTCCAGTGAAGCACACAGACAAAGGTCACTCTTTCAGTGACTATTTGAAGAGACAGGAAGTCAGTTTTTGCTTACATTTAAGTTAATAACTGAAGTTGAGACTATAAGCTGCATTTACATGATTACACAGCAAGTCTTTTTTAAAGCATGGATGCTTAAGACTTGAAGTTTTTCCAACTTACCAAAAGTCACTCCAACTTACCATTAGTTTATCTGAGATTTCATTTATCTGCTTTCCCCACCATCCACACTCCAGCTTTTATTTATATTTTTTTTAGCATTTCCAAACTGACCATTAGGAACCCTTCCAAGACCTCATTAAAGGGCTGGCAGAGGTGGCAAGAATATCTTGCTGGGGGTCCCTGTGTACCTGATGACTTCCAAGTGTAAGCAGCTGGTTTTTTTCCCCTGTTTGTTTCTGTTGTTTATGGCTGCTGCATCTGTTTACCCTTGCTTGCTGCAGCCTAGAACTGTGTTACCTCAGTGTCATTGTTGCACTTACCATCACATTACATTGTTACAAGTGCTGAAGTTGAATACTGTAAGACATCTCAAGAAAGCATGAGAGAAGTAGTCTTAACTGGAATGTACATGCATTTACTGAAAATACAGCTTCTGCAGGTACGTGTACTCTGCAAGCAAAGCATAGGACAGGAGGCATTGGCCTCATGTTGCCACATAGAAGATTGAGGTAGAATATTAGGAAAAATTCTCTCTCAGAGTGGTGAGGCATCTACCCAGAGATATGGTACAGTCACCCTCTGTGGAGGCAGTCAAGAAATGTGAAGCTGTGGCATTTAAGGGCATGGTTTATTGGACAGGGTGGTGATGGCTTAACAACTGGACTAGACTATATTAGAGGTTTCTTCAAACCTTAATGATTCCATAAAATTCTTTGTAGGGGTGGAGGATTCCCTTTCAGGAGAGTCACCAACTCAAATGTGTGAGAATTGCCTTTTAGTATACTATAGTAATAAAAATCCTTTTTCCCCCATCCCACCTCCATCTACAGAGTAAAGAAGTCAGAGCATGTCCTGCACACAACACGCAGCACCAGCCAACAAAACAACCTGAAACCTATACAGTGTCTATCGTGATCAAGGAATTCTTCAGTGTAAATTGAGTAGCCATTAATATATTAAATTCATGCCTATATTTCACTTACTACTCCATATAAATCCTCTATGCACACTTGAACATTGTACCACACAAATTATTTCACCACCTGAGCCAACACACCAACCACAATTATCAGCTGGGAAGACAGAGGGCTGTAAGGGGGGAAAGTCAAATAACCCTGATCTTTGTATCTTCTTCAGAGCATACTGAAAAAAGTTGGTACAAGTAACACCCAGCTGAGGTTTAAGCTGAGTAATCTGATTGGTTCTGCAAAGACAAAACATGCCCATGCAATCTGGTGACATTAAACCACATTTGGAAAGCTGCAGCCTCACAGCTGACAGCAATCTACTTTGCAGCAAAGTAGCACAGGTGAGTTTGAACTCTGTAATGATCCTATGAAAGTGTATCTGTATACTTAAATTGAGGTATCTTTTCACATACTCAGATTTGGGCTTATGACATAGTTCACATGACAATACTTTCAAACTTGCAAAGATGCTGCAGGCTAAAATGGAAGCCACAGAACAAGCTTACATGACAGTAAGTTAAGCTGTAGAAAGCGCTTAAAGGCTTATCTGTTCCTTGCTCAGGCAATTATCATTTTATACAAAGAAGAAGTGTATGTTTCATTCATTGTAAGTACTTCTGGCCCCTTCCAATTTGGGGTATTGTGAGAAGTAGTGAAGCACTGCTCAGATTCTTAAGGTCTACACAACCTCTGCAGCAACTCCCATTATCAAAGGCAGCTAAGAGACAATTCTGAAAAGCATTCAATTCCTTAAATGTCTTTGCATTTAGGTAACTATCTTTCCTTAAAGAGTATGGATACCAGCAGGACTTTACGCTGGTTCGTTTTATTAAGTGGGAAGCTATACATCCCTTTTCACAGCACCCGGGAAAGCTTAAGCTGCTGCGAGGCACCAGTGGCAGCATCGTAACAGTTAGGGAACCGAATTGAAACATTCCTCTTTCCTACAAATGGTAATGACTACAGGGCAGCCAAGAACTTCCCTGTGGTTCTTGAAGTGGAGAAGCACCTTCTGCTTACCCACCGTTCTGCCAGCCCACCTGCTGGTAGAAGCAGACGAGCTCAGCTGCCAAAGCAAGGCCTTAGCAGCAGGCAGCTGCAGCCCACTCATGCTCGTGGTCTCCCTCAGCTTCTTGGTGCGCCAGCACACCCCCTGCACAGCCCCTCACCTTCCAGCAGCTCGTCCAGGCTGGAGAGCTTCTTGCTGCCGTCGATGGTGTAGATGGTGCGGACGCCCTGGGGCAGGTTCACGTTGTCCGACAGGGAGCGGGTGAGCTCGGCAAGGAGAGCGTCGAAGGAGCGGAAGCGGTCGCTGGAGATGGCATACACCAAGCCCTTGAAGTACTTGTCCCCGTTGCGGTAGAAGCGAGCTTTGCGCGCTTTCTTCTCCGAGCTGAGCGCCTGCAGCGTCCGCGTGCGGTAAAGGCTGCAGTGGGCGCTGTGCGCGGGGCTGGGGATCAGCCCGTTGCCCCGCGGCCCCACGCCGCCGCTCGAGCCCGATGCGCCGCGCCGCGGCCCGGCGCGCTGCTGCCTCTTGTCCCGCTCCTCGAAGTGCTCCAGCTCGATGCTCCGGCTGCTCGCCATGGGGACCGTTGCCCGCCCTCGGGCCGCGCGCGCCTAATTCAGCATCGCGCCCAGCTGCTCTCGCTGACAGGGCTGCGCCCGCTCGCCCCGCGATGGCACCCGCCGGCTTCGCCGCTGCCCGCCGTTGCACACAAAAACATCCCTCGCTCCTCGGCGGCTCGCGGCTAACGGCGGCGCCGGGGCGGGAGGCTCCGGGGGGCCCCGCGGCCGCACCTCCGCGCCGTGCCCGCGCAGCTCGCACAATGCGGAGGATGCCGCGCGCCGCTCCCCCCTCGGCCCGTTCCCAGCTGCGCGGAGAAGGGGGTGGGGACCAGAGCGCCTATTCGGCTGCCGGTCAGCGCGAGGAGCTGCGCAGCTTCCCGACTCCTCCGCGGGCGAGCAAGGGCGCCGCCGGCTCGCGCATAGGAGAGACAACAACCAGCAGCGGCCCGGCGGGAGGAGCGAGCTGTAGGGCGGCGGCTGCAGGGCCCTAGCGCCGGGTGCGCGCCGCCGCTGAGAGCGTTGGGGCGGGCGCCGCGGCTGCGGGTCCGCATTGGCGGCGAGAACGGGGGTGGAGGGGGAATCAGGAGGTGAAACCGAGAGGGAGAGGGATTCTTCGAGGAAACGGAGTGGTCGTAGGGAGGTAGGTTGCCCCTTGGGTGCAGTTATGCCTTCCACGCTCCCCCCAAGGCTCGAGCTGGCTCTGTGGCTCAGGTGCAGCAGCGAGGCTATTGCCTAACCCTAGCCCTGCTATGACACTTATTCGGCTAAAACCTTCAGGTTCTGCGATCTTTTCTATAGGGGTTTCTCCAAAGCGTTTCTCGGGACATAAATCTACCACTACCTCCTGCCCCCCCCCCCCCAAATTCCCTTTTTCCATTGGTGGATCACATACTTGTAGGATTCGGAAGAGACCTAAAGCAGGATCCCTATGGTAGACTATACAAGATACTACCCCAACACCACTCACTAACCTAGCAGGTTTCCTACTGTCTCAGAGGAACCACATGAGCAGTAGCCCAACTCTCATCTCCTACACTGGCTGTAGCCCATACGTTCCCCAGGTGACTTTTATGCACTCCCTGGATTGCTCAAGTTTTCTGCAGGCAGACATGGCCTGCAGGTGCATTGAAGTGGCTTCAGTTTCACCTTTTTGTAAACATTCAGTTTCACCTTTTTATAAACATTTTCAAGTAACACAGAACATTCTTTCTTAACACAATATTTAAAAACAAACAAACAAAAAGCATTTACACCTGAGCACAAGTTTTTGTGTCTTTTTTTCAGGTCTTTCTCTTGCTTTGAGAAATTCTAGTTTTGAGAGATTATTACAGCTGATCACGGTTTCCATTCTTTTGTCTAAGACCCATACAACCATTTGTATGTTCATTTCCACACTGCTTACTCAGTACGTGTCAGAAGGAGACAATCAGTTAGATTCTCTGTTGCACACGGAGATGTTCTATGCAAAAATTAGATTGGGAACATAAAAGATAGGTTTAAGAAAGTTCTTTTAATGCTTAAGACAGAACTGCGTTTAGTAGGAAGACATTCTGTAGAGGTTAAGAAATGTTTTTTGGTTCCTGCATAGAGGAAAACAGACTGCTTCTGGTGTGTACCTTCTAGACCTCTTAATCAAATCCCACTTGTGCAACTTTGCTCCAAAGTGGATTGGTGTCAGCTGTGAGGTTGCAGCTTTCCAAATATGGTCTAATGGCATCAGATTACATGGGCATGTTTCATCTTTGCAGAACCAATCAAATTACTCAGCTTAAACCTCAGCTGGGTGTTACTTGCACCAACTTTTTCCAGTATGCCCTGAAGCAGGCAACAAAGGGCAGGATCATTTGACTTGCTCACTTTACAGACCTTTGCCCTCCCAGCTGCTAGCTATTGTTGGTGCATTGGTGAGGCTCAGGTGATGAACTAATTTCTGTGGCACAATGTTCAAGTGTGCATAGAGGATTCATGTGGAGTAAGTGCAATGTAGGTGTGAACTTAATATATTAGCTATGACTGAATTCGTATTGAAGAATTTCTTAATCAGATTAGACATTATATAGGTTTTGGGTTGTTTTGTTGGCTGGTGATGTATGTTATGTTCAGGACTTGCTCTGACTTCTTCACTTTGTAGATGGAGGTGGGTTAGGGGAAAAGGATTTTTATTTCTTTAGTCAATTAAAGCTAAAAGAGAGGTTGATTTCTAGCTTGTGAGACTCAACTACTCTTGTGTAAAAAAGCTCTCTACACAGAGGTAAATTATTCTCAAGTGTATAACTGCTAAAGAAACTCTTGGTGACACCCAAGGCATGTTCCTTCACTTGTTTTCTTCAGTTTTGGTTCTCTGCAGATGTCATTTGGATTTTTAATAAGCTCTGTCATCTCCATGTGGGAATGGTGCTTCTATTCATAAGTATGCTTTTGCCTTTTCCTTGCTACTTTGCTTCCATTAAAGAGTCATCTGTACTTAAGTAGATGTTTGGAAAGGCTTTCAGAGGTGAGGGACAGAACTCCAAAACAATACAGTTTGGAGTTGAGTTATATTGACTATCTCAGTAAATTATGAGTAAATTACCGTGTGTGATACACAGCCCTATGTAGAACTGAGCTATACAGTTATGCAATCCAGTTGTCGTATTTTTACAAATTGTGTTCATAAATTAGCAGTTCACTTAACAGCAAAAATGTAACGTGAATAATTTGGCTTTTGTTTTTAATTAAAGGAAATCTTCTGACATGATAACTAACGAGCTTATCATTCATTCTTGAGGTATTGTTATTCTTGGAATAACTGTACATTTCTTATAAATCATTATTCTTATAGAAGAGTAGAGCTTTAGTCTCTTCAGATTATATTCCTGAGAATGTTAATTTCTTTAGAAATATCAAAATAGTAATTATATTGAAGGTACAAATTCACCAATTCAAAAAAATGTTAAATTCAGTTTCCATAGGAGAGTCAAGAAGACTGTTTGGTATGGTTCATGTGAGTTAAATGTGTCATAGGTTCCAAGATAAGGGCCTGAATGTAATTTTCCTCTTTTTTTTTTTTTTTTTAACCATTGAAATAGTTAATTTCAAGAGAAAATAACACATGACTTACAGGCAAAGGAACATATATTATACTTTGCCTTATTTATTTGTTTAGACCATTTGTAAGAAGTTATTGGGAGTCCAAAAACTATCACTGTATTGCTTTTAACACTATCATCTTTTTTTGTAGAATTGCTAATAATTGTAATACCATCTGTTGTTGTTTAATGTAAGACATCTAAATTTTGTGTCTTTAAGAGAAATGTCAGTGTGGCTAGTTTGGAAGATATGTGTTATTTCAGAGAACAAATAATGAATAACAAGGATTCGGATAAGTTTTTCAAAGATATTAACACTTATTTGTTGTAATGAATGATCAGTATACTTAAAAATGAAAAATTAATTGAGCTGGGGTAGCTACTTCAGTGAAGAAGTCTGAAGCTTGTTACTCACCTTTTTCTGATCTGTTGTGAAAACTAGAGGAGGAAACCAACATGGAAAAATATCTATTTTGCAACAGTTGCCAAATCTGTTACATTAAGCACACAACCTCTTTCATGTTCAGAAGAGAAGCAATTAGTGCCATTTGGAAAAAATAAAAAAATAAATAAAAATAAAAAAACCATCAAGCTGAAGTTAATTATTTTGATCAAATTTAAGATCAGAGTGGCAGGAAAAAGGGCTGTAAGCTTTTTTGCCTTGTGGTACAATGAGTAAAAATATCTTTCTTTCTTGTAGGAGACAGAGGCATAATGAGGAACTGACATCAAGAACGACAGAGTGAGTAAAAAAACAGCCTTTATTGAATCTATGTGTTTTAATAACTAATAGAATTAGGAATTATACTTCTCAGGTTCATTCTCCAGAGTATTTTTTTTTTTTAACTCTTGAGGGTTTTCAAAGACATAATCAATGCAAATAACGATGATGCCTTGAGTACCTTGAAGGATGGAGAAGTGGGACAAAATGTAGAATTATGAAGTCATATATTTAGTGATTATATTTTACTTCAAGATGTGAATGCATCACTTGAAAGTAACAAAAATGAAGAAAGTGGAATAAACTGTTGATTAGGAGTATTTTCTGAGCTGCTAACAAGATACAGCTGTGAGAAAGGCAAATGTAGTTGGGAGTAGCAGGTGGGGTACTTCGTTTAGGGGGAAAAAAAAAAAGATGAAGGATCGTCCTTCCAAGCACACAATGGTTGAGTGTAAAATAAATTATTATGATGAATGAAGCTGCAGTTATTGATTGAGAGGAGGCAAATCACTTGCTAGTATGTGTTCTTATGTGTAGGGTTAGCATGATTGCATATGTGCGCTTCTCAGTTTGGAAGTCTCTGTATGGGCCTTAGCTTTCTTGCTTAGTTGCAGAAGTTCTGCGTCACAGTGCCATAACTGGTTAAGCTTGACTTCCACTCTAATAATACAGTAATGGAAACAAGCAAGAAGGGTTGAGAAAATCATTGACAATAACCTTCTAGCATTATTTTTATCACCTTGATGGTTATGGAGGGAGACTGAGTGAGTGGTATCTTCATAGAATAGTTGATCTCACACTTTTCATCTTAACATATGCTTGTGTGTACCTTACTGGAGACTGGTTTCAGCTTAGAGCCCTTTTGCAGCCTTTGTTAGAGAATTCCTGCATCTAAAGGGAAGTGTTACTTTGGAGCTGAGAGGCCAAACCCACTCCTGAATGTCGAAGTTCATGCGACTGCTCTGGTAGTTATGGTGTAGGTGTTATTGTGTGTGCTGTCAGATATATGGGAGAATGTCATGTTGCTATTTTGTTTTGAATTGCAAGAAGTAGTACAGAAGTTTTAGTTAAATGTACTATGTCTGTTCTGAAGTCTGGACGGTGACAGCAGTTCCTGTACAGAAAATAAGATAGTCAGTTGGCTTTCATTTTATAAGAATCTTGCCTTAATTTCTAGAAGGAAACCCGATATCGTTCTGTGAAATATGCCTACAATTTTTACATGGTTTTTCTGTACCTGTGATACTTCAGCTTGTACACCTTCGCATTCTTTGCATCATTGACAACAAAT